CTTAGGACCAAGTAGCTTTTCAGTCTGTTGTACATAGAATCTCTATGAGTTGGAACCAACTTGACAGCACCTAATAACAGTATTTTTATAATTATGTTTTTAACTTTACAGAAGAGAGAAATGTTTTGTTTCATTTTTATTACATTATAGACTTGTCATCCAAAAATTCAAGCAGAGAAGAAATGTACAAGCAAACAATAAAAGTTCCCATTTCCATCCCACTACATGGGGGCAGTGACTTTTTTTCTTTTTTCTTTTTTAAAAACATTTTATTGTGCTTTAGGTGAAAGTTTACATAGCAAATTAGTTTTCCTAATCAATAGTTCATCCACAAATTTTTCTGTGACATTGGTTACAATCCCTGCAATGTGTCAGCACTCTCCCTATTTCCTCCCTGGTTTCCTTGTTTCCATTTTCTGTCCCTCCCTGTCTTCTCATCTTTGATTCATGGACATATTTTGGTTTTGGACATATGTTGCCCTGTTGCTTTAGTATAGTTGATGGTAATAAGGAGCACCTTGTTCACGCTGTTTGTTTTTCAGTCCCATCTATTATTTGGCTAAGGAGCTCTGGTGGTGCAGTGCCTAAGGCATTTGCCTGCTAACCAGAAGGTTGGTGGTTCAAACCTACCAGCCCCTCTGCAGAAGGAAGACTGGGCAATCTATTTCTGTAAAGATTTACCACCTTGGAAACCCAGTGGGAGTCACTATGAGTCGGAATTAACTCAATGGCAGTGGGTATTATTTGGCTGGAAGGTGGCCTTCAGGATTGTCTTCAGTTTCAAGTTAGAAGATTTTATGAAGGCAATAGTTTAGGGTTCCTCTAGTCTCTTTCTGACCAGTAAGTCTGGTCTTTTGTTTTTGGCTTTGGATTTTGTTCTACATTTTTTTCACCCATTCTAACCATGGTAGCTGGTTACCATCTAGTTCTTCTAGTCTCAGGTTAGAGGAGGCTGTGTTTCATGTGAGCCCTTAGTCCTCTGGACTAATTGCTTCCTTGAGTTTTTGTTTTACTTCATCCTCCTATGTTCCAGGTTGAGAAAGACCGGTGGTACCTGGCAAGCTTTTAAGATCCCAGACACTACTCACCAGACTAAGATGTAAAATGTTACCTTTATGACCTATGTTTTGCCAGTTGACCTATATGTCTCCTGAAGCTATGGTCCTTAGCCTTCATGTCCAGTAGTTCAGTCCCAATATGTATTTTCTGTAACTGTGCTCCCATCTGCTCTTTGTATTTTTTTTTTACTTTTTATTGTGATTTGAGTGCAAATTTACAAAGCAGATTTGTTTTACTCTTAACAGTTCATATATATTTTGTCTCCTGGTATCAATTACAATCCCAACAATAAACAACTTTCCTCCCATCCCCTCCCTGTGACTTCCCTTTCCCTGTGTCCTTCTTATCTATGCCTTCCTGTCTGTCCAGCTATCCCTCTATGCAAATGCTGCCTTTCTGATCTCTCACTCCAAGGGCTGTATCTTCCTGGGATAGGTGGGGCCATATTCCCTCGGGTAGGTGTTTTGCTTGTAGGCCTTTCTACTGTTTGGCTGAGAGCTAATCCACAGAAGTGAATTCAGTTCCAGGCCTAAAGGATAACCTGGAGTCATGGTCTCTGGGGTTTCATCAGCCTTTATCCAACCAGTAATTCTTGTCATATTTGTGTTTTTGAATTTTGTTCCCCATTTTTCCTTCCACTCCATCCAGGTTCTCTGATTTTGATCCCTTTCTGAGTGGTGGTATCAGGCACCATCTAGTTCTTCCAGTCTCAGGGTCCTGAAGGCTAAAGTTCCTGTGGTCCATTAGTCCCTTGGACTAATTGTTTCCATATGACTTTGATTTTCACTCTTCTTTGCTCCAGATGAGGGGAGACCAATATTTGTATTTTAGATGGCAGTTCAAAAACTTAAAGACCCCAGTTGCTACTCATCAAAGTAGGATGTAGAACAATATTTTTATATACTATGTTGTGCTAGTTGTCTGGTCTTATGAGTATACATGTAGCATTTGCAAATATGTGTGTAGAAATACCTACCATCATACCCATATATGTGTTGAGACGTACTCTTGTAAGACCTCCCTCACCTATTTAGTATACATATTTACCTATGCATCTACTCACAAATTATTGTTAGTTATTCTGCTGTTGCAGGACTTTATATGTTATTGCATTTACTGAAGTTGTCCTTTATTCTTGCGTACTTCTCAATGTCTTCCTTTGCCTTGGTCACATTGTGCTTGCTGACTTTCCCCCATATTGTGTATTGCCTTCCTCTTCACCAGAATTGACTCTTGTTTACTATCTAGTAGTACTTCTTCCTGCCTCCCTCCCTGTCCCTTCTCAGCAGTATTTTTGAATTTCTAATTTTGTTTTCTGAGTTTAACTATTCTGCCCAACTTACTGTCAGCTATGGATTTGTTTAGGTTTCTTTTCTTTTTTTTTCTTCATGATGAACAGAATAGCAGCGAGTCTTTTGGCAGGCTCTAGAACCTTCTTTCAGGTTGACACTGATCCATGACTCTACTCTCTCAGATTACTGAATGATATACTAATCCACCTTTGTTGTCCTTTCATTGCTTCATCTTTGTGTGTGTGTGTGTGTGTGTGTGTGATTTGGGTGAAAGTTTATAGAGCAAATTCGTTTTCCATTCATCAGTTCATAAACATTTTGTTTCATGACATTGATTACAATCCCCGTAATGTAACAGCTTTCTTCCCGCTTCCTCCTTGTGTTTACCTTTTCCCTATGTCCTTCTTTCCTATGCATTCCTGCCCTCTGAGCTATCTCCCTGTGCAAATACTGCCCTTATGATCTCCCATGATTGTTCTGAGGAGTGTACCTACCTGGTGTAAATGTTCACCCTATATACCTCCCTGTTGTTTAGCTAAAAGCTATGAGAGTGAGTTCAATTCCAGGCCCAAATGGTGACTAGTGGCCATTATCTTAGGGATTTCACCAGTTTCTATTAGACCAGTAAGCCTGTTTTTTTTTTTATGATTTTGAGTTTTGTTCCACATTTTTCTCCCACTCTATCCAGGATTTCCTTCATTGAACCCTTTCTGAGAGGTTGATAGAGGTAGCTGGGCACCATTTAGTTCTTTTTGTCTCACAGTTATATAGGCTAAGAATTGCATGGTCCACTACTCCCTTGGACAAATTGTGTCCATGTGTCTTTGGTTTCCTTCATTTTTCTTAGCTCCAGATGAAGAGAGACCAATTGTTGCATCTAGACGGCCACCTGCAAGTTTTTAAGACTCCAGTTGCTACTTCATTACTTCATCTTATTGATAGAGATCTCACGAAAGACCTTGTCACCCACGTTGCTCTGAAGTCCAGCTATACTGCTACATCAAATGAATTCACTGTTTGCTAATTATGAGAAATAGTGGGCTATGTGATCTACTACTTTTTTCCTTTGTGCTCACAAACTTTCAATAATTGACTTTAAAATCTTTTTTCTCATCCTATACCAAATTTATTGATATGGAGTTTGCAAAAATCCACCTTCTAAAAAGAAAATCCACCTTCTAAAAAGAAAATCCATCTTCTACTTTATGAAAATTACTTATATTTGCTTTCTTCTACATACAAGATTGCTTAAAATTACAGCTGAGGCCCTTTGTGATCTAGTATCAGTCTGTCTTTGCAAACCTATCCTTCACTACTTCCAGAACAAGCCATCTGCTTCAGTAAACTTAGTCTATGCTTTCTTCTCAGGACAAACTCTGGCACTTTCCTGTTAAAGAGCTTTATTTTATACATTTCTTCTTCTATAGTATATAACTCTAGAATAATGACAATAACAACAACAATAATACATACCCTTTAGTAACTCTTATTATGTGCTCAGGATTTTTAATGTATTTTATCACTAAATTAAGAAACATTGAATTAGGTAAATACATCATAGCCCCATTTAAAGATAGCAAATTAAGGATTTGAGAAGTTAAGTCACTTATGAGTGGTAGTTTTCCAGATTCATCACAACACTGAAGGGTCAACTCAGATCCTAAGTATTCAAATCTTCCCCCAACTCAAAGTCAGAAGAGATCTATACCCTCTCTTATCTCCTATTGTATTTTTAGCATTTGCTACCTTTTTTTATTCATATTTTTAGATGTGGGTATATGTCAGTTCTCAGAAAAAAACCTGAGATCTATTTCCAAAAAGTTGGCCATTGAAAACCCTATGGAGCACAGTTCTACTCTGACACACATGGGGTGGTCATGAGTGGGAATTGGCTCAGTAGCAACTAGTTTGGTCATCTGATTTTATACGTTAGCTCAATAATATGTGTGGTAGTTAAGTTGTGTGTCAAGTTGGGTGGGCCTGGTTTTGAGTGGCTGGGCAGCTAGATGTAGTTATTATTCATGATGAGACTAGTAATCATCAACTCCATGGTGGAATCTACTGGAGCAGCTGAGTAGCTGCCTTAGGGATGTGGTGTGCTTCCAGTATATAAGGACAGGTTTTGAGAAAGGTCTCTGAACTTTTTGGCATGCTTGGATCCTGAGTGTAGCTGAGTCTTCATTCAGCAGCCTGCCATGTTTCCTGCTGATCTTGGAACTGTCTCTGGATTTGAACTAGTGGCCTGCCATGATGTTTGGTAATCTTGAGACTATGCCATTTTATTTGTTGACCATGGGTTTGTCAGCCTCAGCAGCCAGCAGCTGCCTGGGTGAAGAGATGCCTCTATCTCCAGTGGGCCAGGAGTAAGAAGCAGAGCTAAAGCCCAAGGTCAAGGGGCCTTCACCCAGCCTCTAGAGCTTGGCATTTTGAACTCAGACTTCTAGCCTCCAAAACTGTAAGAGAATAAATCCCTGTTTGTTAAAGCCATCCACCCATTTGTGGCATCTTCTGTTAGAGTGATACTAGAGATCCAAAAAATTGTGGAAGGTTCCTTGAGGATGGAAACTTTTAGTGTCTTAATATAATGGCTTGTGCATAAGAGTTACTCAGTAAGTGATTAAAGGCTATGATGATGGATTTTCCACACAGAAGCCAAATGGCACATTGGGTCATAAAAGCACTCGCAGGCGCTGGGGTCAGACCATTTTCAAGTCTGGAGATAGTTGGGAAGATTTTGAGGACTGTGATTTTGGAGTCTCCCATTCTAAGAAGCCAAGCATGGGTGCTTTCAAAGAAAAGAGGAAAAAAGATTCTCCATTTCGGTAAGCTTTCAAAATCATCAAGAAAATGTTTTTATCATGTATCAGCTTTACTCATTAAATATAAATGTAGTTTTAAAATTGCTTTCTTCCACAATTCCAAATCTCTGTACATACTTCTGAAAAGATAAGAATCTTGACTTCTCACAGTATTAATAGATTCTCAGTATTAATGGATGAGTGTTAAGATTGTCTTCCTTTTCAACTTCCTCGCACATCATAAATCCAATATCAGTTGTAGCAGTTGCAGGAAAGATGCCAATATATTATACATAGGCAATTTGCTGGTCAGTTATAGAGCATTCTGCCATCCTGTCTAGTATTAAAAATGATTTATGTACTGCCTAATATAAACTGGAAGAAAAAGTCATCACTTAGTATTGCTAACAGCAAAAGGAATCTGATTTAAGAGAGGAGATCCCATTGACTTATTTGAAAAGGATTACAGAAGGTGGGTGAGAACAGAGTAGCCACATGCTGTAATACAACCTTATGTTGACCTTGTAGGTTCCAAGAGTCTGTACCCTCAATCTCCAATCAGTCAGCAGAGGAAAACAAGAATTTACCTGCTGCTATTTCCCTAAAATCTGATTCAGAATTATCAACTGCTTCAACAGCAAAACAGTACTATTTGAAGCAGTCAAGATACCTTCCAGGTAAGTAGAGAAAACCAAATGTTTATTACTAAGTAGAATATGGTTAGGCCAGGCCCAAGCATCTTCTTTGAAAAAAGGATATCAAAGAAATAAAAAGTATAATCACTGTTCTTTGCTGGCTTCAGCCTGTTTCCAAGTACTTTTCTTTACCTCCTGCCTCTTCTGTTTGTTAAGGTTCACTCAAGAATTGCGTACTAGCCAAAATTCAAGATGATGAATATGCCTCAGAAAATAATTCCCTCACTCCTACCTGCCAAAGCTATAGTTTGGACTTGTTGTGTATTGCCGTCAAGTTGGATCTGACTCATAGCAACCCCTCCTTGGGTTTCTGAGGTGGTATCACTACGGAAGTAGATTGCCCAACCTTCCTTCTGAGGAGTGGCTCGTGGGTTTGAACCACCAGCCTTCTGGTTAGTAGTCAAGTGCCTTAGGCACTACACCACCAGAGCTCCTATAGTTTGGACTAGATTTCGTAAAAATAAATAAATAAATAAATAATGTCCTTGGAAATAGATTTAGTAAGTGCTAAATTTTGTTAAAACAATTCTGCATACCAATTACAACTTTTTATACAATGCAGAAGTTTTTACACTCTTGCCTGAAAGAGTGTAAAAACTTCTGCATTGTATAAAAAATTGTAAAAAGGTGATTCTGGCTGCTAAGTAGAGAATGCTGGGAATTCAGGGCACCTACTTTGATCATGTGTCAGAAGGGACCATTCCCTGAAGAAGGATATCATGCTTGGTAAGGTGGAGGGTCGACGAAAGAGGAGGAGGCCTTCAAGGAGATGGATTAACATGGTGGCTCAAGTATAGCAGGGATCATGGAGCTGGCGTGGGATCAGGCGGTGTTTCGTTCTGCTGTGCATGGGGTCACTATGAGTTGGAAACGACTCGATGGTACCTAACAACAACAACAACAAAAGGGCAGCTAGGAGATGGTTAAGAGGTCATTACTGATGTTCTGATAGGAGAGTGATGGTTTGTTCCAGAGTGGTAGAAGTAAAGATAAAATCTAGATAAATTTTGGTCATGGAACCAATATGACTTGATAGATTGACATGAGTAGTGGTGGTGAAAGAAAGTAAGAAATTGGTGTTGGCTTCTTGGTATTTGACTTGGCAACTGGGTAAGTGGTACTTTTAACTGAGAATGAGTGCATTAGGAGAGAAGAGGATTGTGGAGGCAAAGAATCAAGAGTTGAGTTTGGGATGTCTATTGAACATCCAGGAGGTTTGTTGGTATAGTGTTTAAAGCATTTGGCTGCTAACCAAAAGTCAGCAGTTCAAACCCACCAGCTACTCCATGGTAGAAAGATAGGCAATCTGCTTCCATAAAGATTTTCAGCCTTGGAAACCCCATGGGACAATTCTATAATACCCTGTAGGTCCCTGCCCTATAGATCACTATTGCTATGAGTTAGAATCAGCTTGATGGGAGTTGGTTTGGTTTTTGATTTACTAAACATACAAGTTGATTGATCTGCTAGACAATTGGATATATGAATTTGGAGTTTAGAGAAAGGTCTAGACAGACAGTGGGGAGTTTATGATGTGGTTTCAAGTAGCATTTTCTCTAAATCTACTGTAAAAACAAAATTAAAAAATCAATTTTTTTTTTCCCGTAGTCTTGGGGGTTTCACCAGTCTCTATCAGACCATTAAGCCTGGTCTTTTTATGATTTTGAGGTTCACCCCCCCCATTTAACAATTTCTTTATTATTATTAATTATTGTTATTATTTTTTTAATTTTTGCAGTGTTTCCTCCTCTTGTCTCCCACTCCTGGTAACAACCAACAATGAAAATTTCCTTCCATATATAAACCTTTCATTATTACAATAATGAACTAATACATTATGTGTCCCTCTGTGACTGACTTATTTTACTCAGCGTAATGTCCTCCAGGTTTATCCATGTTATGCAGTGTTTTGCAGATTCTACATTATTCTTTAAGGAGCTCTGGTGGTGTAGTGCTTAAGGCATTTGACCATTAATCAGAAGGTTGGTGGTTCAAACCCACCAGCCACTTGTGGAAGAAAGACTGGGCAATGTACTTCCATAAAGATTTACTGCCTCAGAAACCCAAAGGGGGTAGCTATGAGTTGGAATCAACTCGATGGCAGTGAGTTAGTGTTGCATAATATTCCATTGTGTGTATGTACCATAGTTTGGTTATCCATTCTTCTGTTGATGGGCACAAGAGTTGTTTCCATCTTTTTGCTTTTGTAAATAGTGCTGTGATGAACATACGTATGCATATATCTGTTCTTTTCCTGGCTCTCACTTCTTTAGGGTATATACCTAGTAAAATTGCTGGGTCCAGTGGTATTTCTAACTCCAGCTTTTTAAGGAATCAGCATACTGCTTTTCACAGTGGTTGTATCATTTGACAGTCCCACCAGCAGTGTATGAGAATGCCAATCTATCCACATCCTTGCCAGCATTTGCTATTTTCTGTCTTGTTGAATTTTGCCATTAGTGTTGGGGTGAGATGGTATTTCATTGTGGTTTTGATTTGCATCTCTCTGATGGCTAATGACCATGAGCATCTCTTTATGTATTTGCTGGCCCTCTGAATAGCCTCTTTGATGAAGTTTCTATTCATGTCTTCTACCTATTTTTGAATTGGATTGTTTGTCTTTTTGTTGATGAGGTGTTGGAGTTTTCTATAAATTTTAGGGATAAGTCCTTTGTTAGATATGTCATGGCTGAACATTTTTTCCAAATCTATAGGTTCTCTTTTTACTCTTTTGGAGAAGTCTTTGGAAGCACATAAAAATTTAATTTTTAGAAGTCTCATTCATCTAGTTTATCTTCTGTTGTTTGTGCATTTTGGGTTATGCTTGACAGTCTTTTTATACCACAAATTGTTGTTGTTGTTGTTGTTAAGTGCCGTCGAGTCATTTCCAACTCATAGCGACCCCATGCACAGCAGAACGAAACACTGCCCGATCCTGAGCCA